GAGGTGAAGAAAACAAGCCAACCCTGTTTGTTGTTATGGCCACTCCTGCATTAATACCATGGTTCTTCCTTACTGGGTTTTGAAGAACCCAACAAACATATTTAACTATTGAAATCACCAGAATAATTGCTTATAATATTATAAATAAGAGATATACTTTTCATGTTTTAACAATTATATTAGAACAAAGATGGAGACTCTGGTCGATTTTAACAACAGTTTGTTTCTAACTCTCATCTTCTGTGTTTTTCTAACGTCTTCAGGAAACCCTAAAACGTTGATGTCCCAGTGCCGACTGGCCGTCAGACGACACCTGAAGAAGATGGACAAGATCCAGCACATGGAGGAGCTGGAGATGCCGAGGCCTCTGATCAACTTCCTGCAGTACAAGTCTGTTCCTGCTGCTCCCCTGTAGCTGATGGGAATTTTTACACGCTGTGAAGATTTGTCTCTTTCTAAAGCCCCTCCTGTCTGTGGTCATGTGCTGTTCCTGTTCTGAAGAAATACAGTTGTAATGTATAATGTTGAAATGGTGAACTGTTCGCACTTAGCCTGGAGCTAAGAACGCTGACAGACTTGGTCACATGTTAATCATTATCCTGTTATTGTCGTGTTTTCTTATTCAGAATCTGAAAAGAATCATTGTTTTCAGGTTTGGATCAAATCTACTCATATTAAAAGCTTAAAAAGTTTTTAACGTCTTAGATAGAGTTACTTTTTTAAAATGGCATTTCAAAGCAGACTATAATCTACACAATAACCTGAACTAAACAATCACATGTTACTTACTGTATACTGATTGTGTGTGAAGTCATGACAACCCCCCAGGTGACATGCAGCACGTGAATAAAAGTAATTTATTCATTTGAATTTTGTTTTGGACATTTGATGTAAAAAAAAACAACAACTAAAAAATGTATATTTTCATCATGAGAAAAAAGAAGACCCTATTACCTCCTCATTTCTTTACCTGAAGGTTACATCTCTGGCTGCAGTCTGCATTCTCACCACTAGAGGTTACTAAATCCTAACCAACAGTTCTTTCAAACATCGGTAAAAATGCAGACAAAGGAATTATAGCTTTCAGCTTTTAAAAAAACTTGAGGTCGAACATTTCACCTGTAGATGGCAGCAGGGTGTGGAGTATTTTTGTAAAAGAAAAAACTAACTACGATTCATGTAAAAAAATCAGAGTCAACCAGAGTTTAAAAAGTCAGATGGCCTTTTATGTGTCGTTACTAAACCACAATCACTTTGTCCTTCAAAATAAAATTAGAAAAATAATTACTCTTTCATTTTTGTTTCTCAAACATCTGCAATCAAAACATCTGACGTCATTTTTTTTTTCAAATCTCAAAACAACTTTTACACAAGGTGGAAGGGATTTTAAAATAATAAACAAAGAAAAGAACTTCAAAAGTCTAATTAAAGAAAACATCCATAAGCCACATGTTACAGTATTGCAATATGAGGTCATTTCCTGTTCGTGATCTCTGCCACACTTGAAAGCTCATAGTTCAAGTACATACTTTTGTTCTACTCAAGTGTTGGTTTGAAACAAAATTCTGAAGCAACAGTTCCTTGTTGGTCCCTTTCTGCACCAAGAGTGTAAATAAGGAATAGAGGAAACCACCGAGGTGGACACAGAAGACCTGGCTGGAAGACGAACTCCTTCGCCTGGTTACGGTCAGTTTGAGAGCTTTTGAAATGTACACATATAGTCTGCAGCTGTTTATTTGGACACTAGGGGGTGCTAGCTGCCAAAGATAACGTCCAAAATAAATGGGAATAAAACTAATCACGTTCAATTTTTGGGACTTGAAACAACCAAGATCACTAATTTAATATATATATATATTTTTGGACATCAAAGTAATTAAACATTATTTTTCAAGGGATATTTATTAAAACGAGGCGCCCCCTGTCGGTTGTTAAGGAATTTCAATTTCAAAAGCGTTTGGGTGCGTCCATTTCCGATATACAAGTTAGACTACGTAAGATTGATGTATGCATCAAATGTCATGACATCATGGCCACATCATGGAGGGTCCAGTTTAATATCAAGGTCTTGACCTAGTGACCTCAGCCCAGGCCTACGTCCAGTGACATCATCACTACGAAGCCCAGGATGGACGTCCATGAGGCCAGCTTCCCATTTCCACTGTTGACACCAGAATAAAGTGGTCACGGACAGGTTAAAGGAAGTCGACCCTCCCTCATACTGCTCCTCCCTCCTTTTACTTCTCCTCTGTTTTACCTGACTTGAGCTTCTGGGATGATGTCATCCACCACCACGTAGACCATGGCCCCGGCAGCAAACGCCAAAGCGTACGGCAACAAGGGTTCTGCCAAAACGATGGCGAGAGCGCCCAACATCCCAGCGACGGGCTCAACCATGCCACTCAGCTGACCGTACCTGAGGTGGAAACAAAAACAAGGCCTCGTCTGAAATCTGAACATTAGAAATAAGCTTCTTAGTCATTTAGTCACCACACACTATTGGTCTTACCAGAAGCTCTTCCAGGTGGAGACCCCCGAACCTCGCAGAGGCAGGCTCACCGCTAAGCCCTCTGGGAAATTCTGGATGCCAATGCCAATGGCTAAATTTCTGAAGGAGACAGAAAAAAAAGTCAAACAATGGATGTTTGTATTAAAAGGTAAGAACTGAAGAGTTGGCAGTCAAGCCCCATCATGCAGTACTGACTCATGACCGCTAGGTGTCAGTAATAAACCACGCAGTCCCAATTCTGTTCATGTGATTGTTATGGAAACGGAAGCATATTTTAATTACCATGACTATTAGCATAAATGTTAAAAAATATTTCCTCCTGCCATCGGAGGGGAACACTGGATGTTCCCTTGAGGGGTCGCCACCAATGGTCACCTGACTGCTTCTCACCCTATCCTCCATGGACCCTCTCTGGTTCTCCCCTCACCCTGGCCTGTTCTTCTACTCTTCTCCTTCCTGGTCATGATCTCCACATCTTCAACTCCAACACCTCCATCTCAGCCTCCTCTCTCGCTCTAGTCTGTTTCCACTGTCTCCAAGACATACGTTATAGCAGCTCTCACTACCATCTTGGTCTCACTTCCTCCCTCACACTCGTCTGCACTCACTCCACCCTGACTGCTTCTTCTTTTTCTTCTTCACCTCTGAAAAACACAAGACGGGGTTAATGGACAGCTAAAATGTCTCTTTCTTTTCTGCCACTTCTTTCGGGGCAATATCACAAAGTAATCGATAGAGGGCAGCAACGCACTGAACACAATCAGGCCAAGACATTTTCATTCAGTCCTACAGGAAGTGCAGCTATACAGACCATTTGATGTTGTGACTTGAATTGTGTTTTTTTTAATTCACACAGGAGACACGTCTCCAGAGAGATGAAGACTGTGTCTGGAGCTGGTCTTACCTGGCGCTCTCAAAAGTGGCAGAGGAAGTCTTTCCTATGGCTCCAAAACCAACTCCCACAGCTAAACCCTCTGGGGATGAGAACACATGGACAAAAAAGTGAGAGACAGAGAAAAAACAACTGTCACAGTGAATTCAAATGGACAAAAATAGTTCCTAGATTTTTGCTGATGTTTTGGAATAAAAAAAAACATTCTCTTGTCTCACTGAAGGTATGTACACTCCAGTCCTGGAGCTGCTCACGTATCTACCACTGCTGGAGAATCAACCCACAAATACAGAGTGAAATGTACAGCTGTACTGGAACATGAAGAGGGACTGGCTGTACATAACTCCTTGTCTTTGTTTGCAGAGGATTTCAGACTCTATCTCCTTACACCT